GGGTTTTTGTTTGTTTTGTTTTGTTTCTTACTTTTGGGAAAGCAGACAAAATACAAATAGTCTCTTAAAGGGAATACAAAGTGTCTCTGTGGTGATCTCTGTGCTTGTTGTCAATGTTTTTGAAGAGTTCTTTTTTAAGTCTAGACAGAAATTTCTACCAGAAATTCATCATGCCCACCAGAGGAAACACATCACCAAATTCTTCATTATTTCTGAAAGTATTAGTGCCTTACTTTACCATAGTTGTTTGAAATTTCTACTTCTGTTTATCATACAAAAGAAAAGAATTAGTAGTTAGACACAAAGGAAGAAGGGGATTGTGTTTAAGGAACATTTTGAAAAATATCCACCTTCATTTACTCAGATTTTGTGAAAAAAAACTTCAGAGTAAGAATCAGTAATAAATGTGTCTAAAGTATTATTTTTTAAATTTTCATATTTTGTTTAGCATTTTTTTTCCTGAAATTTCTTATTCCTTACCATCAAGATATAGCAATAGACTTTCACATGCAGGCATTTCTCAAAGAATATAATATTAAAATAAGATCACTTCTGAAATACTTGTTGCATATATTAGATTTCAAAACCTAATGAACATTACTGTTTAAAACAATGCAAGGAAAGGTCTTCTAACTAAACACTGACAACGTGAACAACAAGGAGTTAAAGTATTATCAAAAAATTTTAAAGCTACTAAATCGTTGGGCAAAGGATAAGTGATCAGAATTCAAAATCAATGATCTTTTCACTACCAAACTGCTTTGTTTCCATTTGGTATAAATAGAAAATAATTTCCTCTATTTTATCTAATTTAGTAATTTTGGAACAGTAAACAAGTAATCAAGGACTCTGCTTATAAGTCAGGCCAGATAATTTATTGAATTAATTTTATTAAGTGCATATGAAATTATCAATCCTGCAGCACTACTTTTAAAATTACTTTTAAAACGAATACAATGAACCACTGAAATTGCTTTAAGTAGAAAATATATATCTATTAATTCCCATCCATCACAGAAGTAATATGATATATTAGTACATAATGAACGTAAAAGAGACATGTATAATAATACTTCATAAAAATCTGAATATTGTATAGTTATTGTGAATATGTTTATAATTCATATTAACAAGGATTTCAGTAAGTGAAGTATTGTTAATTCAAGGAGAAAGAGGAAAAATAAAAGTGGTTCCTTAAACAATGGAAAGAAAAAAGTTTTGCAGCAGATTTACATATGAATGGAAGGTAAAGCCAGCAGTGCTGGTGCACACCTTTAATCCCAGGCCTTGGGAGATGGAGACAAGTGTATGTCTGTGAGTTCAAGATCAGAGACCAGCCTGGTCTACAAGAGCTAGTTCTAGGACAAGATCCAAGACTACACAGGGAAACCCTGTCTTGGAAAAAAAGAAGAAAATAAATAAATTAAAAAATGAATAGAAGGTAAAATTTTGTCAGATGAGCTAGCAGGGTATAGTTGCAAAGATAACACATCAAATGCTTAAATGTTTGAAACTTTAGTGGTGATGATATTGGAAAGTGAAATGGGGACAAATTATGGGAAGTGACTTTACAACAACAGATGAATGTTGATACCATTATGAACTGAATACTCACTAAATTATATACAATTGACTCTTACGCAATTCATAATTTAAATGAGGTAAGCTGTAACTGGAAGGCTGATAATTATGTATATGTTTTACATGTTTACAAGTTTGTGAATGTATTCACTTGTAAAAAAAAAACAGTTGTTTATACAAAATATATTTACCTAGACATTTTCAAATTATAAAAACATTGAAAAAACTTGCATCTAGATTCCATGTATTTTAGGTTACAAATTTTGATCACTCCTGCTTCCTGAATAACATCCTGGGTTTAAACATAGATATGTGGAAAAAATGACTCCCGCTGCAGATGTTGATGAGGATGGAAATCATCAGGAATTTCGTTTGTTCCACTAATTTTCCTTTCATTCTTAAAACAAAAAAGAGACATATGAGATTTAAGAATATCTTTCTTCTGCTATTTCTATATATTTAATGACAGCAAACATGGAATTGCATGATACTTATAACGCCATATGTAAAGGCTTTCTGTGATTTTAGTGCAAGGAAATAGAAAACAATATTCGGGAGGTATAGTAGATTAGGAGTTATTCTCATACCATCTGAGTTTATAGTATCTTTATTAATAGATATGTGACACAAATAAATAGAAGGGCCCAGAGACTGATAATTGAGGTTCAAGCTTCAAGCTGAATATCAGAAAAGCAAAGCAGATGGATGGCTACTAATTTCTTACCTCTATCTCAGACTGAAAGGGCTGATCCATGAAGTCCTCACCAAGTCTCAAACTGCTGCCTTATTTTTTCAGTTTGGCAGAAGGAATGCCCCACTGAGAACTCATTTCTGTCTTATATACTACCCTAATGTTGGGATTAAAAGTATGAGCTATAATTCTCTTTTGGACTGATTCAATCTTGTGTATATCTGGCTGGCCTTGGACTGACTGAGATCTGCATACTTCTGCCTTCAAAGTGGTAGGATTAAAGACGTGTTTGACCTCCATCTGACTTAGAGTCAATCTTTTATTTTATTTATTTATTATTTAATTATTTAATTATTTATTTTTTTAGATGTCAGACCACTGGGATTAAGTCCTTTGCTTCGCTTCTTAGGTTTTTGGCTGACTTTGTTTTTCTAAATCGTCAGCCAAACTTTAACAAATCATAAATAATATATCACTACAAGACAATATTAACTTCTTAATTTGTATTATGAGAAAGCTAATCAGATATTCCCTTTTCTAAATTAATGGTTTTTCTGTCACTCTGAATAATAAAATTTAGATCATGTCTTTTCTACTTTGCTTTCATACTATTTCTCTCTGCACACATTATATTTTTATATATAGGGAGGAAGGTGATTTTATATTTTAACAACTTCATCCTTTGTTCTCTTATTCCAAAAAAGGATCCTAACTACCAGGAGTAGACTAAATTAATTATCATGTAGTTATGATAATAGTATCTACTGTAGATAGTATAGCCTGTAGAAACTACTAAGGTCTCACTTTAAATAGAGTATGCAACATCCATCTGTACATGAATCACAATTTCCCTCATCTTAATTCAAGAATCAACTTATTGCCTTGGACAGAAAACTTCCATTACTCATTTGCTCAGGGAGTTTCTATGTACTTCAGCATTCCCATTCCTCGTCCCATGTCCTATGTGCTATATGAGAGCATGAACATAAACTTTGGCAATCCTTTTAAAAAATGCCCATTCCCTTCTACCTTATGTTAGAAGTCACAAATGGCTATCTGAGGTGCCTATTAGCATAAAGAAGACCGTGTGGACTGCCATGCTTACTCCGCATCCAAAACCATATTGGCTGCCATGCTCACTCAGTATCAGAACACCTGTGGCTTTTCTCATCTTTTGTCACCATTCGCCCAAAAATAAATTTCTTCAGCTCATGGCCTCTCCTTCCCCAAGTTCTCATTCCCATGTAACCTTACCCTTGACCTCATATGTCTTCCTTCTTTGCCCCCCTATCTTGGTCTCTTTTGCCTGCAGTCTCTTTGTTTTCCTCTGTCACTCTTCCCACAATTCTCCTCTTATCACAAAATCCAGTCTGCTATCCATGTTCAGTCCACTATTTTCTCTCTGTGCTCTATAATCTTCCAAATGCCATGGGCTCATATCTACAGTAAAATCCCTTACCTCACCATACTCGCCCTCATATCTACAGTAAAATCCCTTACCTCAACCATACCTTGGAGAATTTTATCCTCAGTTTATACAGTTACACTGTGTAATTGGGGGAAGTTTATGGATGTGCATATAGTCTTATTATTTTATGAATTACTTTACATCATATTTATGACAACTATAAGGATAATTTTAAGAGCTTAAAACATGGAATGGGTGTAATACATAGAATTTTGTTTTGAATTATATATATATATATATATATATATATATGTAATATGTGTGTGTGTATGTGTGAATGACTGTTACCAGTATTTTAAATGATCATTGCTATAGTTAAATCTTAGTGAAGGAAAGTTATAACATAATGAAATTGATAAATATTCCTATATTGGTAGTAGAGATATTAGACAATCTTAGATACATATAAACAATGACCAAATTGTTAATTGTGGATATATATATATATATATATATATATATATGTATATACATATATATATATATATATGTATATACATATGTGTGTGTGTGTGTGTGATGAATAAATATATTTGTTCAACAACAAAGCTAACTAAGTCAAAAAATTTAACTGTGACTTCCATTACAGCACTTGGATCTGAGAAAAGCTTCTTCAATGTAGAATTAACAGAATCAGATTCTTGAGACAATTGGTGGGCAGTAGTCAGGGCTTAAGTTGTGAATTTTCAAAGGGAAAAGAATCATTTATTTCTGCCTTTTCCATGCATTCATACGCCAGGCCAAAGTATCAAGACTCCAATCTGGCAAGTATGACTTGCTGGATTCTTTATATAACAGAGACTGATACTAATATTTGACATTTTCATGAGTCTCACATAGAAACTGTCCTCGCTCTGAAAAGGAGGGAACAGTATGGCTAGAAATTTTACTATGTATCTGTTTGACTCTGGGCCACAGATACTGATATTTCATCATATATTGCTCCTGTATGAAATTTCATCAATCCAAAGAGACAAGTTAGCTAAAGTTAATAAACTTTATGGAAGCCTCAGCATCTAAACTCTTTAACAAATGGAGAGGTAGTAACACTGCCCAACTCATTCATAAAGACAGCTTTCTCCTGCTATGAAACTGGATAAGGATATTACACACACAGTGAAAATCAAATTTCACTATTTCATGATCAGTTCAAATAGAAAAGTTCTCCCCAAAAGTTAACTTCATAATACTTTTTCACTGTACAATGTGATATTGTTAACTACAAGCATATTCTTTATTTTTTTCTCTCTAATGTTTCAGGAGTAACTGTGCTTGAAGGGCCTATTTATGCAGTGGGAGGCCATGATGGCTGGAGCTATCTGAACACGGTGGAGAGGTGGGACCCACAGAGCCAGCAGTGGACATATGTAGCCAGCATGTCCATTGCTCGGAGCACTGTTGGAGTAGCAGCACTGAATGGCAAGTGAGTAAATGTTTCTGTAATTTTTTAATAGGTTAAGAAAAAATAATTGAGTGGTAGTATTTAAGAATCATTTTTAAATAAATACACATATATTTATACAAAATAAAATTTCTCAATATTTCAATTTTAATTGCAATAAAGTAAAATTCTCAATATCAATTGCTTAACCAAGGAATAGTAAGCATATTTTATGAGAATATTTCTAAATTTTGAATAAAAATAGTTACGTATCCTTGAGAAAGTTACTAAAGATTTTTTTGTTTATTGTAATTTTCCTGTATGGTTGTCCACTTTTCAAGCTGTATTCCTATCACCATTAAATTACTAATTCTCAAAATCAACACAATTTTCTATGTTTTTTTTTTTCTTCTCAACTAATATCAGACCTTCCCCACCTCTGTACCCATCATGGTAACACTCCTACAAAAAGAAAGAAACAAACAAAAACAAACAGTGAAATCAAACCAAAAAATCAATAAGTCTTACACACACACAAAAAATCTAAAATAACTAAGTAACCCACAAAAAGACAATAAGCAAACAAATATGAAATTAGTTTTATGTTGGCCAATTACGTCTAGTCATGGGATAATTTTGACATACCCAGGTTCTCCCTATTGGAAAAAATTTGATATTCTCTTTGCTAGTAACAGGTATCAATTGCAAATAGCTTTTCATTTAGAATTACGACTTGGTATCCACTTCTTTTCAGTGTGGGGATTTTGTCTGGTGTGAACCCCTGAGGTTTGAGGTATGCTGTCACAGTTTCTGATAATTCATATGTGTGTCAGTCCTGGTGGTATGATAGACACTGTTTGCTTAGCCTAACATCTTTGGCTCTTATGATCTTTCTGCTTCCTCTTTTGCATAGATATCTAAACATTAAGGTTTTCCATTTACGACCGAGTATTCTGAAGCCACTCAGTTCTCTGCACACTGTCCAATTTTATGTCTCTGTTAATTTCTACCTCTTGAAGTTTCTCTGATGGTGATTTCGCATCATTAGGTGCTCTTTTATCACTATTCCTTTAGCAGAATTATAGTAATATATTTTCACTATGACCTATCTAACTCACGTTCTTGGTGACTTTTCAGCGTAATGTATGGGTTAATTTTTATGGAGTGGTCCTTAAAATGAATCAAAAGTATTTTTTTTTTATACTTTTAACATTTTTTTACCAGTATTGAGAATTTCTTACAGGCAGGTAGCTTTTGCAGATCACAGATTTTCAGCAATGTAACATTGATTATATTTCTCTTTTGGTAGCCTGCTATGTTTTCTGTAGTTTTAAGAGGGAGGCATAACACAGAAAATGTAAATCTGTCCATTATATCCCCTTTTTCATCCTTATTTCTTTGCTACACTGGGAATGAAATATCTCCCCTTCTTTACAGAGTTATATGAAGTCATTTTACTTGTTAGATAATTATTCAAGTTGGAATAATCATGGAAATTATTTCATGGTCTCATTTAAAAGATGAACATGATTTTGGTAGCTGTAATATATTTGTTAGTTGTTTGCATTTTAACATATTAAAGACAATGCATTTATAGTCTTATGTTTTCCTGACTTTTAAGTTACTTAAAGTAGGCTTATTTTAGGCATGAATCATACACTTGACATTTGCAAAAAGTGATTTTGAAAGGTACATATACACATGAAGGAATATACTAAGATATACTAAATACTATATTTTGGTTCAGAGGAAGTCTTTTTATATATAATTTTAATATGTTCTCTTGATTAGTTGTTTTTGATGTTCTTTAACTTGTATTATAAGGAAACACAGCCCACAATAATTATTATGATTTAACCTGTAATAATTTTGAATAAGATATGAGATATTTCAAATATTTTCCTGGGAATAGAGCAGTATTATTATTTTAAATACAATCATTCTCTAAGTGTGTAATTATGTTCAGTGTTGTCAGAGATGATTCATTTCATTCACATCTGTTTATATTTTTTTATTATTGTACATGTTAGATGGTTGTTCCTACATTAAATGTACAGAAATAAAGTTGAAAATACACATGTATATGTATACAATCGCTACTTTATTAGCTGATTTTGTTATTGTATTTAACTTTTACTTATATCATAAGCTTTGGGAGAAAAGAGACATACACTAAAATAACAATAAAAGTCTGTATCTGCCTTTATAACAATGATACTTACTACTTGTCTTAGGATGTCTAAATCGGTGTTAATTATTTTATTTTCTTGTAAGATGCCTTCCTATGTTAATTGGTACTTTTGCTTTGCGGATTTTGGTATCTTTTCTTTGTTTTGCATGTTTAGTGTTTTGATTATTATTTAGATTATGAATCATGAGGGATTTTTTTTTTTTTAGATCCTGTCTAGTTGGTGTTCTGTATGCTACATTACCCTAATTTTTTGTAACATTATTGTGGAATTAAATATCTAGCATCAATATTTGAAAGGCTACTTATTTTATTTTAGATTGTTTTGACAGTTACCTTGTATCAGAGCTATCCTTCTGTGTTATCTTATTTTTAAAAATATCAATTTATGTATGTTTGTCCCAAATACTCTCCAGCCCTAATAATGTATGAATTGAGAATCAAGTCATGTTTTTTTTTTCTGACATATTATAACTTAAATGTCTATTGAGTTTCTTTCTCATCCCCCTTTTAAGTGCATTCATTACACAAGTTAGTGTTCAAGCCGAGTTTAAAATCTTTAGGTGTTTCACTGTACTCTAGTACTGGCATTCATGCCAAACAGTAGTTAGATACTGACTAGCGGGAGATATGCAGCTTCTTTGGGGAACAATGCCTGAGATTAGCATTTGCAGTTTTCCTTATGATAAGGCGCCTGGAGAGCCTGATCCACTTGGAAAGAACATGTATATTTCTGGGCCTGACCCAGAAGCATGTGTGCTATGTGCTCTCCTTGCTCTCACTATTCTAGCCATACTGTTAGCCCGAAGGAGTCCCAGGAGGCCATGGAATGTGACATTTCATATTTGCATAACTGTTCTGGAAAGATTGATTTTAACCATAAGAGCTTTAAGGGAAATATATTAAATAGATGGGATTAATTGTCAATGGAAACACTCCAGAAACAGGGAATGAAGTAAATCACAAAACCCCACTATTCCCTTATTTCTAATAACTGTGCCAATACCTCAAGAACATAAAGGAGACAAGACAACACAAGACAAGAGACAAGCAATGCCAACTATTCGTTTCCAGGTTATGTTGCTCATAGGATAAATGGGAAAGCTTGATATGCCCCCAGAGAGAACAGAGTAGTACAAAAGGTAGAATGAATTGATCGAGTTTTGGCTGGTGAGTTGATCATGAAAACCCAGACTCTACTCGATATAAATATTAACCAGAAGAGACAAAACTGTCTCACACATCACGTGATTCTGTAACTACATGTCCTGCCACGTGGTCACACTGTCCTCCCTATAGGTGTGCTTAGGTAGACAAGTTCCTTTGTAGCTTGCAAATCTGCTTCCACTTCTGCTGGTAGAGATATAGATAAAAAAGGCTATGTTTACCCATGGAAAAGAGACAGGGAGAAAAATGGCAATTTTGTAACCATTTTTAGAAACGTAGGAACAAAAACCACCTATAAAACTGTTCAGGCAAACCATTGATTGACACTACAAATAATGATGACTCAAGCAAGCTTTCTTGGGCAGCTTGATTGTACAACAAGTGGTAATAGTCTCTTCACTCCACTCCACACATCCAGTCCCAGTCCTCAAACATTTCAGGAGCAAGGCCTCTAGCAACTAATATTATTTTAAATTATTTTCTTGCAATTGTTTATATTTCATCTCAGCTCATTCCCTCGAGAATGTATTTTTATATGAAAATATTTAGGAATGGTTTTGTATTATACTTAGAATCATCACTCTCTTTTTAAATCAAAGCAATGTAGTTTTGATTTGGGAATCTTTTCTTACAGCTACAGTGTTTTAACAACCTCCATGTTCTATGGCTAGTGACTCTCTTAATGCCTAGGCTAATTTCTTGTGTTAGAAACATATCATTCATTACAAAAAGATCTTTCATTTCAAAGTTATAGCAAGGAATTCTCTCACTTTTTGCAACTAGAGTTTAAAACTGGTGCGTTCAGTCAGATTAAATGCAGTATCATACTGAATCCATAAAATAATCTCATAATAGCATATACTAAGTAAATGGGTCGTCTTTGTCACCTTGGATTTATGTAAAACTAGAATTTATTTCACAAATAAACAAAATGCACCTGGAGATTCAATAAAATTACAACATGGGGGTGTGAGTTGATCATAATCTTAGATTCTCTAAAGTCCAAAGACATATTTGTGTGTATATAAAGCACAGATATGCTATAATTGTATGTGTTTGTGATTTTTGAATTATATCACTAATTTGGTTTTGTTATTTGAATGTTTTACTCCAGTTAAGTTTTAATTTCTTCTCTGCTTGTTTGCAATATGACTATTGATTTATATTTAACAATAGCATACATTGCATGCATTTCATTAAATATGTGTTACCTTTCCTGTAGAATCTGAAAAACTTAACACAAACAAACTATACAGTTCTGTTTCATATTTTACCAGGGACTTGTCTTTTCTCTTGTGACTTAATTTTAGTTATTCTGATATCTATTGTAATTTACCTACAATATAAAGCAGTTAAATCAAGAATAATGAAAAGAAAATTATGGACTAATTTATCTACCATGATCTCTGTTCCTTAATCTTCAAGGCCCACCCCTTATATTGTACTTCCTGGGGAAAATTCATGTGTATATTCCAAACTGATATACTTTTTCTTAATATTAGAGCCCAGGATCGCTTTAACCAATGGTAGGCTCATACATCTTAAAAGGAAAACAGAAAGAAAATAGAAGAGAATGAAAAGGGTGCAATTAAGGCTGGGCATTGCTGGGGCATCCCTTTGGTTTCAGCACTCAGGAGGCAGAGGCAAGAGGATCTCTGTGAGTTCAAGGCCAGCCTGGTCTACAGAG